GGGGCTGGCAGCGGAGTCTCAGGGGCGCGACCGCTCGCTCCGGCTCTGCCGGCACCGTTGGGGGCTGGAGCTCGGGGACAGCGAGGAAAGGGGCGGGGAACAGGGGCGTGGCCAGGAGAGGAGGGGGCGGGGCGCGCTCAAAAGGGGCGGGGCGTGTCACCGCTTTGCACCCAGGCGCTGTCCGGAGAGCCAGTGCTGGGGTCGGGGGAGGGGAGAAGAGGCTGCGCTGGGCCTCGAGTTATTGGTTCACCCCAGGGATCAGCATCGAGTCTGTGTCCCAGGAGGCAGGGGGACCTGCCCAGACACATACATGGAGGGGGCCGGCTCGCCCCGCTGCACATGTGTCTTTGTGGGTGCAGCCGTGGGCACGTTACACGGAGGGGCAGCTGCTCGTGGAGTCACCCACCAGATCTAACCATCATTTGTTTTTGTTCATTAGGGTGTAAAATTGAAACATTTAAAACTCTCCACGGGTTTCCCTTCCCGTCTGTATCCCTGAGTGCAACAGTCTTCCCCGGCGCTGCTGCCCGGAGCCGGCTTCCTACAGCTGGGCGGAGCTGTTTCTTTCAAAAGATATAAAACCCATTGTTTTTAAATAAGTCTAGTGCTTTGAATTAGGTACCTTCTGCATGTCCAGTCTTCATCTTCTGGCGTGCAGTGGAAAAGAAATCACAGAAGAGTGGGGGTTTTTTTAAAATGTCATTTGCTTCATTTGGGTTCAGGAATTTGGCCGGAAGGGGGTGATCAGGGAGCGGGAGGGAGACAGTGGGGAGAGGGCGGGGCCTGGGCAGAGTAGGGGCAGGGCCTGGGGCAGAGCAGGGGTGGAGTATGGGCGGGGCTACAGGTGGGCTGGGGAGCAAACCTCCCCAAGCGGCTGCTTCACCCACAGCCCATAACAGCAGGTAAGAGCAGTTCGTCTCCCACATACCCTGCAGTCTCCTTAGGCAGGGGCTGTCCACGCCACACATTCTGCGTGAGGGAGAGGGTACGGGGGTCTCTGCGGGGAACTGAGACTCTCTGCCACCGTGAAGCCGGGCGGGTGGCTTGGTATACTTTGCTGCCTCGTCCCTCTCTCCCTCCCCCTCCCCCGGGCTGCGAGCCCAGGCTACCATCGGGCAAAGGGGCACCAGTTTAATAATACTTTATAGGGTCCCATAAATCCTAAGGACAGCCCTACCTGCCAGCCACACTTGGGTTACTCTCTGCCTTTTATCAGCCTTGGTTACTTCTTCAGGGTAAATCCAAGACACCCCCACTCCCAGATTTCCCAGGTAATCCCAAGACACTCCCACTCCCTTCCCACCCCCACCCCCAAAATGTTCCGGGCTGTCCTGAGATAGCTCTGTTCTCCCTTTAAGGCAGGGGTGGGCAAACTATGGCCCATGAGCTGTTTTAAGACGGCCCCCAAGCTCCCGTTGGGGAGCAGGGTCTGGAGATTGCCCCGCTCCGGTGCTCCAGCCAGGGCTCTGGGTCAGGGGGTGGACTACGCAGCTCCCAGAAGCCACGCAATGGCTCCTACATGCTCCAATGACCCCCTCCTGGGCTCCAATGGGAGCTGTACGGGCGGTGACTGCAGATGGGGCAGCATGCAGAGCCACCTGGCTCTGCTTCCACGTAGGAGCCAGAGAGGGACATGCCCATGCTTTCAGGAGACATTTGAGATAAGCGCTGCTCTAAGCCTGCACACCTGAACCTCTCCCCACACTCCAACCCCCTGTCCCAGCCCTGCTCCTCCTTCCGCTCTCCACCCCCCTCGATCCCAGGACGGAGCACCCTCCTTCACCCCAAACCTGTCATCTCCAGCCCCACCCCAGTGTCCGCACCCCCAACCACAGCCCTTACCCCAACCCCAATTTTGTGAGCTTTCATGGCCCGCCATACAATTTCTATTCCCCAATGTGGCCCTCAGGCCAAAATGTTTGCCTACCCTTGCTTTAAGGGAACAATAACTCAATTTGCCACCTCAAATTGAGTTACCCAGACAATTTAACTTAATCAGACTGGATTAGTTTCAATTAAAGAATAAAAACTGGTTTATTTAAACTGCAGATAGATTTTAAGGAAGTACAAGTAATGATGCATGAAAGTTAGAAATGGTTACATGAAAAATAAAGATAAAAAGCTTCTTGGTGCTGAACTCAAAGTGTACTTGAATCAATAGTGAAGTCCTTACCCCATTACAGACTGAACTTTTCCCATCAGGACACCTCCCTCATGTCCAGCAGCTGTTTCTTCTGGTCTTCTCAGGTACAAAGAGGGAGATGGACAGGGAGAGAGGAGTGGCTTGCGGTGTTTGCCCCTCACTGAATAAAGACTGGGAGTGGATGGGTCACTACAAAATGTAATTTTCCCTCTCTTGATATTCACCCCTTCTTGTCAACTGTTGAGAATAGGCCACTTCCACCTTGATTGCATTGGCCTTGTTAGCACTGACACCCCACCCCCTGCTGACTTGGTAAGGCAACTCCCATCTTTTCATGTGCTGTATATATATACACACACATACACTGCTTACTGTATTTTTCACTCCATGCATCTGATGAAGGGGGTTTTAGCCCACGAAAGCTTATGCCCAAATAAATGTGTTAG